CTGTTTCTGTTCAGGCAAACTTCACAATAGCATCTATGTTCATGCTATCATGAAGTTCAAGCATGTAGTGCGTCCCCGTTTTTTATTACGTGGCGTTTTTAGAATGGGTGTCTTCTTTTCTTTTCTGTAATATGAGATTTTTGTCAAGGAAAAACGCGTAGCTGAGACTCGCCTACCAGTGAGACCTCTGCAGGGATGACGACACACCTCCTCTCCGCCGAAGCGCCAGAGTCACCAGTAATCCCACGCCTCTCCCACCTCTCTCCGAATGCTCCCGTTAACGTTTGCTGCGGTGCGCCTCGGAGAATTTATGTGGAAGGATAGGAGCTTATGCCATCCACGCTTTTGGTGATGATGAAAAGCTCCGTGCCTTTTAAGTGTTAGCGTAGTTTGCTGGGAGAAGCTTATGACTTGAAGTACTGTGTATTCTTTCATGTTACAGTTGTAGGTGTGTGTTTTTTTAAATCTCATCCCTATTAAAAAAATAAAGGAGTTGAGATGCGTTTCTCTTTTGTTAAGATTTGTACTTATGCCTTTCTCTTTATTCTTTGTATCTTTTCCTTTGTCTGCTTGTTCGTATTGGTGAGTGTCTGAAACAAAACATCGTTGGGGCCCAGAATGCAGTGGGAGGCAGGGATGGACCCACCCAGGGGGAGATTGCTGTCTTTGTGGATGCCCTGCCGCCTTCACAGGCGCCCTGACACCCGCAATCACGAGCACGTGGTTAATGCGCGTGCTATGAAGGCCACCAAGGGCTCCTCATCAGTGGAGTCACTCGATGACAAAAACCACCTCAGGTTTCCCAGATTCACTCATTTATTCACTGTGGTTGGACTAGATGGTCTAGGTTTCTCCCAACTCTGAGCATTTGTGGCAACTTCTGTCATTGGACTTCTTTCTGTCTTCTTAGGTTATCTAAAAGCCGTGGAAAAATTAGAGGATGCAAAATAGGCATCGTTAAGCTCACACCGTGTCTCTTCTATCATGTAAATAAATCAGCACACTTACAATGCAACTTGGTCTTTCCGAGGTTTGTGCATTTTCCAGACTATCAAAGGAGACCCATTCTGTGAAGTAGCACGGTTGATGGTTTCATTTCCTTAGGCAAGGAGAATTATTTTGGTAATACCCCATCTCATGTTTTATTAGCACAGCAGGAGATTTCTTGTTGAGCAGAACTGTGAAGATTTGAGAAAGTGGGTTTTGATAGCCTTGCACAGCTCCTTAGAAATGTGTTATTTATTATTTTTAAGTACCATTGGTAAGCCTCCCAGTTTTTTTTAAACCTTTCTGTGGACACACAACTCTCTGTGCTGTCAAAGCGCAGGATTTGCACGTTGACAGGAGACTGGCTCATGGCATCTCGTTTCTTAAGGCTTCACATTCCCGTCTATGGAAGCGGCATTTTGTTGAGGTTAAGTTACATTAAGCAGGGATCTGAAGATAAACATTGAAGATGTGCTGAAACAGTGGTGATAATTCCCAGCACTGTCCTTTCGGAGAGCACCCAGCACTAAGTGGCTTGGGTGGGTGCAGAAAATAGGACTCCAGGGAGGTTAGGTGATTCCCTTGGTGTCTCTCAGTGACTCAGTAGCTGCAGAACCCCACTGCTAACCAAGCCTGTGGTTTTCGTGTCACGGTGAGTTGTCCAAGCAGAGCAGTGCACCCTGCCCACGTTTCCTACGGGGGCTCTGACGGTGAAGGTGTTTCTTGTGATTTGCCAGTAGGTATTTATGCACTCTTACTTTTCATCATGGTATGGCCTTTCACGTGGAGCCCTAAGTCTGAAAACATAAAAACTAAACCAAAGCAAAGAATCTTGTTATCCAGGCAAGTCTCTTTCTCTCTCTGTTTTCCTTTCTTTTAGAAAAAATCGCTTTATGATAAAAACACAAACACATATGAATAGTAACTGAAAAAGCATTGCTTCCTTTTAGAAAACCGCTAGGATTTGCATAAACCACTTGACTGTCTGGTAAAGGATGATCTGCTCTGTCAGACCCTGGGGACTTTTAACATTAGCTTATTTGTACTTTTATAGACAGTGAGAGTTCTAAATTTGAAGGTGAGTGTTTGTTAAATGCTTCAAATAGTGGCAGTCTGTGAAACTGGACTTCCCAAAAGTCTTAAAAAAAGTCAACGGAAACTTAACCTCATCTGTACTGTGATAATCGCAGGAATACAATTAAAGGTCTTGAAGGATTTAGAATTTGTGCTATGCACAGTCTGTTAATTATTTGCCTTTAGTAAATCTGACAGGTGTTATGGCTAAATACTCAAACTACTCCAATTTGAGAACTGGAAAGGAAGTTTAAAGGGATTTCTATGATCACTCTTAAAGGAGACATTTACAGCAAGACAAAACATAAGTGACTGCGTCTGTGTGGCATTTGCTCGCTGAAGTACGTTACCCAAGGCGGACTGAGGAAGAGATTACTATAATACAGGGTTTGAATTTTGTTGGGGTCCAATTCTGAAAATCAGATTGACATCTATGTTCTTGGAATTAAGTACTTGTCTTACTGATAGTGAAATAATAGCCACCTTTGAATTTATTTATCACTTTTTATCTAGCAACGTCAAGGATAATTGATTAAGCTTGGATTGCTAAAGCTTGGCAGTGTTACAGGCAAATCTGCATAAACCTTAACAAATGCTTTTTCCTATATCTAATTAATAGGTACAAATAGTCCGAAGCAGTCTCTTGCATTTTGAGGTAGTACAGAGCCACACATTTTATTTCCACTTGGTCTTTTACAACACTGTGTTTCATCTAGGGTTGAAATGCATGAGGGATTATCTTGATTTATCGGAAGGTAACAGCAGCACCTTCAAAGTCAGAGGAGTGACAGTCGAAACAGGTCTTTGTGTAGGCGGCGGGGGGTGGGAGGGGAGGTGGAATATCGAGGCTGAGCTATGGCCATCACCAGAACCATCACAGCTGACATTTCTCGAGGTGCCATGTGTACTCATCAAATCCTCATAGTGGTCCTGTCAGGCACATATGGCTTCCCAATTCCTTATTTAAAGCCCTTGGGGTCAGATGTATTTCAGATGTATTTCAGAATTCAGAATTTCTTGGAGTTGAGAAAGGCAGTCAGGGCAAATGCCACTTATTACACAAAATCTGCAGTGAGTCTGGGAAAGCATCTCAGAAGCAAGCCAGTTAGTATTTCTGCAGGGAAGTGTGTGACTAGTTACACTGAGTGAAATAAATCAAAGCCACAAATACTATGTTAATTCAGATTAGATCTTGCCTCCAAGTGAGGTTGGGTATCATCTTCTGAAAACATTTTTATTTTTATTTCTGAACTTTTTGGTAAGTACCAAATAAATACAGTTAATAACAGGTAACAGATTTGTATTCTTGTTTTACAAAAAGATTAGAATCTTGGTGCTTTCTGTGTCTGCTACACAGTAGTGGAGAACCTCTCTTTTTATCATCCCCCATGAATTACACTAGCTACTTAGGCAGTAATTGCTCTCCTGCTTTCTGTAGATAGGCAATTTTCTCAAAGCTATGTAAGGCTGACATTTCATGCAGAATGAATGGAATTTAACAAGGTGAAGTGTCATGAGTAAAAACAAAGTTCAAACTGTGCAAGGACTGAGGCTCCATGCCTCAGCCGACAGACGTTTAGTTAGCTGTGTGGTAAGTGCACTGACACTGTGGGGGGGCTTCCAGCAATGTGAACGCAGTCTTCAGCTCTGCAGCCGGAGAGCGGTATTTAGAACGTGAGAGTTAGCCATATCTCACTGTATTCAGACCGTATGTGGAGTCTCATTTTCCTTTCTGGATGGGCTCTTTTAAAGGAATGGAGGCAGTGTGAAACCTTTTCTGAGTATTTTGATCAGGAGGGTGAAAGGACTTGAAGCCATGCCTGTAGGGCAGAGGTAAAGTAGCTGGGCAAGTTTGTATGAATGTTATGCCAGTTTCCAGCCATGTTGGAATATAGTACCGACTCGAATGAGTACAGGTGCTCCTTGATTTATGATACGGTTGCATCCAGGTAAACCCATTGTAAGCTGAAAATACTATAAGTTGGAAATGCATTTGATACTATCAGGGGTGTCTAACCTGTGGTCAGTGGGCCCCATGCAGCCCAGAATGACTGTTAATGCAGCCCAACACAAAATCATAAATTTACTTACAACATTATGAGATTTTTTTTTTTTGCCCTGGCTGGTGTGGCTCAATGGATTGATTGATTGCTGGCCTGCAAACCAAAGGGTCACTGGTTCGATTCCCAGTCAGGGCACATGCCTGGGTTGCAGGCTGAGTCCACAGCGTAGGGTACGTGAGAGGTAACCACACACTGATGTTTCTTTTCCTTTCTTTCTCCCTCCCTTCCTCTCTCTCTAAAAATAAATAAATAAAACACGAGATTTTTTTTGTGATTAGTTGTCATAATGTATTTAACGTGTGGCCCAAGACAACTCTTCTTCCAGTGTGGCCCAGAGACACCAAAAGGCTGGACGCCCCTGCATCAGTTGTTTACTTTTGTGATGGAGTGGCTGGCTGGGGGCTGTGCTGTAGCAGCTTGTCACTGGCTAGTGCCACGGGAGAGATTGCGTATTGTTAGCCCAGGAAAAGGCTAAATTCAAAATTTTAAGTATGGTTTCTACTGAAAGCATATTGCTTTCACCGTAGCGGTCAAGTTGAAAAATCTTAAATCATCGTATATAATTTTAGCCTGATATTGATTGACTGCCAGCTCTGTGTCCTTTCCTGAGCTGTTAAACATTTAGGGTACAAAGATGAAAAGACATGAATTGAGAAGATGGAAATGAGGAAACTGAAGCAAAAATAAAATTGTGATAGTAGTTCAGAAGCCAAGATATCAATACATTCTGGTCTCTTGAACTGGAGCTTATTCCCGGAGTAACTGTGTTGATCTGTCCTTTGGGGGCCTTGGAATTCTTTCACCTACCCAGTAGAGTGTTTTCAGAGAGGCTGGTACTACCTGACTCTCTAGCTCACGTGTTTCTTTGTTTCATAGATAAAGTGCCCTTGTGAATAGGAATGCCTGCCCAGATATCAGCAGTGGAGATCATGGATGAAGATCAAATAATTGAAGAAGTCTTGGATAAGTTTGTTAATTGTCATGAGCAAACATATGAAGAATTTCTGAGCACTTTTACTCATCTTTCAAAAGGTAAAATGGAAAAGTCATTTCTATAGCAGTGGAGATAAAGAATTTTATTATAATTTTATGTTTGTGCTGCCTTTTCAGAAAGACTATTTAATGAGCATTCATTCATTCCTTTCCTTTGATCACACTGTTCTTATCAGGGCATTCACAGCTGATAACGTGTAACTACCCACATTGCTGTGCAACCAAAAGTTGTGTTACAGAGTCAGAACTATTGAATTTGAGAACTAAAAAAGGACCTGAGAAATCAGTTGGTACAATTCGTTCATTTTATCTTTGAAGAAATGCAAGTACAAACAGTGGAGGTTTTTAAAAACATAGAGGTTTTGGAACTTTTAAGAACTATAGCAGATGGTAGGCTATGGAGTTATACTGCACGCATTTGTACCCTGGCATGGCCCCTTTCTGGCCATGTGACCTGGGGGCTGGGTGGGGGGGTGGCTACCAAGGAGAGGGGGTGGTTACCAAGGGGACAGTTACCTAGGGAAGGGGGAATAATGATAGAACTTCAGAGGCTGGTGAAGGTGAATTGAGATAATCTGGGTAAAACTCTTAGCTTAGTGGCTAATGTGTAAGTACTTAATAGAAGCTAGGTTGTTGTTGTTACTGTTTTTGTTGTGATGATGACACTCTGAATTTTGTACAAGGGAAACAACCCGTCAGACCACAAGTGATTAACTGAAGTCTATAAAGGCCAAACCTGTGTTGTGTGTTTTATTATGTGTTTTGTTTGCCACCTACAGTATTGTTTTGTTTTTTTTTTAGTAAGTTGGGAAACCTTACATAAAAATCTTGATCTGTGTTTTTTCTGATGAAGTGAGCAGTTCCGTTACTGGCCATTTCCCTGAAGACAGGATCAGCTAGAGCTCCAGAGCTCTTGGCCTGTGAGCGCTCCCGTTTCTCACACTCTCTGGCACTTACACACCCTAAAGGTGTGTGTATACGTTGCCTGCTTCAGTCACTGAAGTGCTTCCTGTAGGCACTCAAGTTTGTGATCTATATTGTAAATTCTGCTTCAGGTTGCCATCCTCTTGATCTCGATCTCAGCCTTGGTCCTTTCTCAGTCATTGATCCCCATTTGTGAGACTGGGTTCTCCACTTAGCTGCGTGTTGGACTCGCCGGAGGAACTTTTAGAGCATGTTGATACCCAGGGGCATGCTGAGTCTTAGCTGGGGCTGGAAGTCAGTAGTCTGTAGAAGTTCCTCTGGTGATTCTAACAGGTACCCAAGATTGAGGACGGGGAGTTTCATAATCTTAGAGGTCATGACACTTTCAAGATACTAGACTCCATGATCTAAAGTGATGATTCATGCGTCCTTAGAAAATGTAAAAGAAGTGTAGTAATAAAGAAGAAAAGGACAAGTGATTCTAACATGTTCGTTTTGTTGTGCAAAATAGTTGGGGTGTCCATGTCTGTTTTGTTTTTGTTTAAAAACTGTGGACTCTGGTTTTGTTTATAATTAAGGGAAATGGAGAATTTAGTAAGTCTCTAGTAAACTTTAGGACTTTGAATGATGTGTTTTGACATGATAAGTGGATCAAAGCAATCATGAAAATGGCCAGTCACCTTAGTCTGTGGATTTGGGTTCAGGAAGGTGTTTGAGACTAATTATTTAATTGTTTAATTGTCTAGTTCCATATCTCCTGGACCAAACATGCCACCGTAAGGTGGCTGGTGTTGGGGGTGTGTGCGGAACAAGGGTAAAACCGGCAGAATTCATGCATTTTGGTATGCCAATGGCATTTTGATAATTCAAATTGTTTTGTAAATTATTTTAAAGATGAGTTTGAAATTATTATAAAGCTGAGTTTCTTTTTGTGCTATGGGAGAGTAAGAACTTGCAAGGACTTGGATATTTTAAGGCGATTATAATAGTTTTCGGGAGAAGGGGTCTATTTCCTTTTGAGATTTGTGTATGATCATTGTGTGCTGAAACAGAAATTGTTACACATCTGGTAACTTCATTTTGATTTTAGTTTTGGGCCCCAAATTGAGCTGAAATAAATGATGATGCAAATCACATAAACTGCATCTCTAAGCACACTCATTTTTTTTCCCCTTTCAAAATATCCTTAGGTGCCAGTTTGCATGATAAACGAATGAACTGAAAATTCCTCCTAAAGAACAAAGAGTTGTGAGTGCAAAAAGGTGTCTTAAATCAGGAAGTGTCCTTTCCCCCCTGAAACATTTAAATACCTTTTGAGAAACCGAACAGGACTTTGGGACAGGCATAGGGAGTTGAGTGAAACAGAATTGATCAAAGTGAATATGGTTTCTTCTGTTTTAAGGAAAACATGAAAGCTCTTTCTTCAAAGTTTTCTCCTTCTTTTCAGCCTTTCATTTGTCTTAGTGTGTTTGGTCATTTTGCTATGTAGTGGAATCTCTGTTAAGTTAAAGTGGTTATCACCATGCATACTCATGTACATTTCTTCAGTAAGTTTAGTTTCTCAAGTGCATTCCCATTCCCACTGATTGACTGTTCTATTTAATTTTATAGTAGTTATACGCCAGAGTGCTTGTGGGATTCATTTTCTTTGTAAAGTGTTAAAAGGGTCAGTAATCCTATTAAAAATAGTTCCCTAGAAAAAATTTAACTATAGCTTTATTGAAATATATTAACATTACTGCTTTAGGCTCTTGGAAAACAGCTGGAAACTGTTAATATTATAGCATAATTCTCACTACAGTACATTATATTGATCATATTTTGCAGTTTTTTTAGAGCAATTCTGGCTTTTAACACTATGGCACATATTTGATAATAAATACAATGTTCTGTGGAAATATTTAAAGAGACACATTAATTATATTAATTATTAATTTTTAAAAAAACAGTTATAATTGAATTCTCAATAGTGTCTTTGGTTCAAGAAAGTAAGACCAAATTGTAAGATATAGAAAATCAGAATGCAGATTTTGGTTTTGTTCATTATTGGTGAAGATATTACTATATTGTTGACATTATTGTGACTAGAGATAAGATGCTAAGTTTTAGGCATCTCAGTGTCTTTATGAATATAATGAATTTATATGTTTTTCTAGAATGTCCATCTGAAGGGAAAAATGCTTCCTCCTACTTGTCTGTCATATTGCTTTCATTTTTCTAGGTTATAAAAACCCAGATATGAAAACTTGTATTTGATTTTCTATTAATGACTGCATGTATTCATTCATTCATTCATCCATTCATTCATTCATCCTTTGAGTGTCTCTTTATGGCCTAGGTATTATTTTAAGTGCTGAGGATCCAAAAAGGAATCAGGTAAGTGTTCTCAAGTACTCATAGTCTAATGAGAGAGAAATAAGCAAACAGTGGAGAGAAGCATGGAATTCTGTGAAAACTTGTAAGAGGGCCATTCAGACCCCACTCTGTGGTAGAATAGTAAAGTCAACTTGCTGGAAAGGACACCAGGAGAGTTTGGGATAACCACTGAACCAAAACTTACATTGGGTTCTAAAACATTAAACACAGTGCAGGGATGTTTGATGGATACGAGATGAATTTGAAAGATGTTAAAATGCCTCAATTGGTGGTGGTCCTTCTGAATCATGGTGCCATTTGTTTTAGTGCTGATATAATTATATATATATGTAATTTTAATAATAGATTTAAATAGTAAATTTTCAAGATGGAGATGTACCTTTGCTTTAGTAAGGTTTAGTAAGGTTAATAAGGTTTAGTTATTTCTAAACTGCTGAAAAAAAAGGCAGGTTTCTAAAAGTTCCTTGCACACGGTTATCACCACATGGCCTGGTGTGGGAACAGTTGAGTGGTGGTCGCTGCTCATGTGGTGGACTTCGTCAGAAGTTACTGAAATGACACACGTGAGAAGCCAGTGACTTGGAAGCTGGCATTTAATCTTTTCAACTCCATTTGTCACATATACTAACCCTGGAGGGATTTAGTTGTTACATCCAATTCTGAATCTCTCTCTCTCTCTCTCTCTCTCTCACACACACACACACACACACACACACACACCCCTTGTTATGGTTCTGATTTTGTGCTTCAGGCTAAATGATTAATTTCCATTAAAGTTGCCCATTTGACCAACTAGTCAGCTTAATATAGTTTGGAAATTGCAATGAATCTACTGTGATTTTACAAATAACTCTTAAATAGTCTTGCTTTTCCTTCTCCCATGTCATTTTCAAAAAATTCTTAGCATCCAGTTTCCCAAGTGATTCTACCAGTTTCTATATCACCACTTTAGCCGCTTGCTGCTCACGGCCACATTTGCCCACTTTAACCTGTTTTTTCATGTCTCCATCAAAGATTCTCTTTCTGATTTTGAGGTGTGGGTTGGTTTTCAGTTTTCTTCATGCTAGTCTCATTTCAGTTGCAACACTTTGTGCTTTTAGCATTTTATTATTCTTTTCACATATGTTTGAAAAAATTCCTGTTGACTCTACCTATCGTTCTCCCTTCGTACCCGTTAATATTTGAACTAAACTCCCCCGGAAGCAGATCACTGTATGTCTGAGTATTCGGGACAAATGGCCGTGCCCGTGGCTTTCTTCACTGGTGCTGGTCAGATCTCTGTTTCACTAAAAATCTTTGAAATCCTTAGTTTCGAAACCTCTAAATAGGTTTCAGTTTTTCTTACATTTTAATAACCTTAGGAAATCTGCCCACAGTTAGTGTTTTAAGGAGCTGCATTCACCAGTATCCTGCCACCGTGGCAGATTTCAGGAATGTCCAGTTATCACGGGACCTGTCACCACGAGGTCTGCGCCGTCCAGTGCAGGAGCCACGAGCCACAGGAGACTCCTGGGCATTTGAATGTGGCTTGCGCTACCCCAGAACTGAGCTTTAAGTTTCATTTAATTTTTATTAATTTAAATTTAAATGATAAAACTAAGACTTAATTCAGTTATCGGAAAACTTTGAAATGTGTTTGGGACAACTAATCAATTTTTTAAAGTATAAATTTTATGAAATATAAATGCAGATCAGGTATTTCTGATGAAAATTTTGCATCTGAATTGAGATTTGTGATA